GGGGCATCGAGTGCATCCACCACACCAGGTACACAAGCACAAAAGCCATTTGACATCGTTGCCCACCATCCTCGGAGGGGAAAAGTAGTGGGAGAAAGAGACTGCTTCTGATGGAGCAGATAGAAAGCAGGAAAAAAGCGTGTACATGACAAACACTCATGGCGTTCCTGATTACCATAGTTTTGTAAAAGCAAAGAGACTTTGCCTGACTTCCAGACACCCAGCCAGACGCTTGCTCACTCCCTCTCCCTCCTCAACAGGACAGGAGGAGAAAGTAAGGTGAAAAAGGTCACAGGTCAACGTAAAGACAGGGGGATTACTTAACAGTTACCAACACAAACAAAACAGGCTAGACTTGGAGAATATTCCTTTAGCTTATTACCAATGAAAAATAGAGCAGCATTCTGAGAAACAGGAAAAAAAGGAGAAACACCTTCACTCCATCCCCACCATTTTTTCACAGGCTCAACTTCCTTGGTCAATCCCTTTTCTTCTATTTCCTCCATCCTTAAGCAGCACAGTAGGATGTGGAATGAAGGGTTGCGGTCAGTCCACAAGTTTCTTTCTGTGCAAAGATGTTCTTTGCCGGACCTGCCTCTGAACAGGCAGCAAGGCATAGGTGGTTTCCACAAAATCACAGGTCCCTGCTTTTCCAGACACAGTTACAAGGCCATCAGACTCTGTGTTTTTATGGGGGCTACAGAAGTCCTCATGCATGAACAGCAAAGAAAATTCACACTTTGTTGTTTGACAACCCCTTTGGCACACAGGTCTGAAGACATGCAGAAGTGCATCTGGCATTGTCAGGTACATGAGAAGCCTGTACCCCGTCCCAGTAACCAGCAACACTACATCATAAGGGCATTGATACAGGGACAACAGCCTGCATCAGCGGGCAGGCTTTCTTAACCTTCCTCCATCTATGTAGACCAAGAACTGGCGGGCACAGGAGGCAGAGACTGCACTTCAGTTCTCTGGGCACCTCTGCCAGATCGAAGGCACCGCTATCCAGTTGCAGATGGACTCCCCCTGGCATGGGCAACCTGCTACTCTGCGGTGCTCACTGACACAACAAGGGAGAGTGCCCAGGCTATGACCTGCACATGCCCTCATGATGAGGGTCACACAAGTACAGAGGGACACACGTGTGCTCACACATGCCTGCATGGAGCCATGCAAAGCTTTGGATGCTCACATAAAGCCAGGAAACCATTGGCAGCTGTGGAACGTGTTGGGGAGACGCTGTGGACGACACTGGCAGAACATGACTCAAGTACCCCGGGAAGAGAGCAGGCTCCACTCATGCTCCTGGTGGACACGAGTGCAGCAAATTTGTCTTCAGATTACTGTTAGTGTTGCATTCGTGTCAAAGCCTTCCAGCAGAAGCCCACCTGTGTGCAACAGTGATGGATCTTCAGAGAGGGATGGGAGCAGGAGGACAAAAATCATGTGGCATGTCCTCTCTCATAGGGGTCCTTGGGCACACTCAGACAAGGAGCACAAGAGCGGTACCCATTTCCTGACAACTTTGCCACAAACAAGAGCACACGAATGACACAGGTGCATATCACCTGACTTCACAGCATGCTACTAGCACTTGAGTTGAGTCTTCCACCTGCGCTGACGTATTTCAGCCACGGAAACCATTGGGCCTCTCATCCCGGCACTTACAGAAGCCTTCATAAGGGAAAGCACGTGACAGAAGCCAGGAAATGAAAAGGCAGCAGTGCAGGAAACCAGGACACAACCCATGTCATTAGCTGGGATGGTTTGCATTTGGCACGAGCTCGTCAAAAAACTATTACTACCACAGAGCGTGCCTCTGGGCCTGAGGCAGTGCAGGACGACTATAAAAGACAGCCCAGCTCTCTCTTCTCTCACAGCTGCGGGAGGCCAATGGATGAGCTCAGCAGCCCCTCCAGCTCTCGGAGAACAGCCTTCCTCTCGCCCCGGATGCACCTCTGCTGGGGAAGGAGTTTCAAATAGATGTTGGCTCCAAGGGGCGGCAGGAGTGGTGCTGGGGAAAGAGTGATGCCTGAGGACAGCCCACAGTCTTAGCTCCCCCCATTCCCTCCACTCCATTACTTGATCTGTGTTCCATGGCCAGCGCACACGGGCACAGGCAGGTGAGGCCAGTACCTCATACAGTCCTTCAACACCCGGCAGGGCCCAGCTGCTGTCCAGACATGCAGGGCTGAGGTAATTCACAAGTTAGTACTGGTATCAAACAGATAGGAGTCCCTGCTCCCTGGAAACACAACAGCCCCATAGGCCACTGCAGCTCCAGCAGAGCACAGTGAGGAAGAGGTGGCTCTGGGCTCTAGCTAAGATAATTTCTCCTACCCATGTCAGCCTGGTTCCTCTGAAGACAAAGCGACAGGGTTGAGTCGTTCACTTGTCAACATGGTACATTAATTTCATGTTGTCAGAGATGAACTCATTGCTCCAGAAGGATGCTCAGCTTACTGGGTGTCTCACCATAGTTTATCCTCCCCTGGGCAAAGACATTGGCAGTGTTCTCTCCTCTTCCGAATCACACTTGATGACCTCTCCAACCACGGTCTACATTATTGAGGCAAAAGGGATTGCTTAGTCTGGAGAAAAGGAGGCTCAGGAGAGACCTTGTTGCTCTCTACAGCTACCTGAAAGGAGGTTGTAGCAGGTGGGTGTTGGTCTCTTTTCCCAAGTAACAAGTGATAAGATGAGAAGAACCAGCCTCAAGCTGTGACAGGGGATATTTAGATTGGATATTAGGAAAGATCTCTTCCCTGAAAAGGTGTATTGCAGTCAAGACTAACATATTTTTCAGAGAAAATGGGATACAGCATGGCTAATAGCCTTTTCCTTTCTTAGACTCGATCACTGAGTGAGGCCCATACTGCAGGCAGGGACTCGCAAAGACTGCAGTGCTGGGAAGGGCCTGCATGTGAAGAGCAGTGGTGGTGAGAGCAGGGCTTGGGCTGTCCCTGCCTCAGAGGACTTGCGGAGCAAGGGAAGATGAGTGCAGGCAGGGTCATCCCCAGCGTTTGTGCTGTAGTTGGGTTGGTACCTGTCATGTACCACCGTGTCCTGGGACCACAAGCGATGCTTGAGCCATGGGGCTGCCTGTAGGGGTCACACACACAGTGGAGAAACGTGGATACTGGCAACTGACCCTGGTGCTTGAGAAGCAGGTTTCGTTAGGAGGTGATGAAGCCTTGGTCCTTGGGCAAAACAAGAATGTGCCCAGTGAGAATTAGGAAGGTGGTGTCTAAGCCCAGAGTTGTGGGCAGAAGGAGCATGGGTGGAACCTCCCACAGTTCACGGGGTGCTCTGTGTATGGGCCATAATTTTGAGCTCAGAAATGCCTACAGGAGTTCCTTTTCTGCAGCCAAGAGACCACGGACACTCGAGGAATGCCAGGATTTAGAGTATTACCCAGGGCTGAATGCCAAGGTCTAAAAAGAAGTTTTCAAGTATCACTGAAAAGCGTACCTAAATCTTGGCATTAATACTGAAGCCAAAAGTTGATAGCACAGGGAAGATGGACACCTGAAACAAGCCATGGGATTCTTTTGGGGGTGTTTCTTTTATGGGGAGTAGGGAGTCCATTGCACAGCCTGAGCATGGCTGATCCCAGTACTAACTTGTGAATTACCTCAACCCTGTCTGGACAGCAGCTGGTCCCTTCCAGGTGCTGAAGGACTGTATGAGGTACTGGTCTCACCTGCCTGTGCCCATGTCCTCTGCCCATGGAACCCAGATCACGTATTGGAGGGAAAGGGAAGGGGGAGATGAGTTTATGTGCCTGTCCCCAGGTCTGATTTTCTCTACATCTCCACTCCTGCCACCCTTTGGAGACATGTTGTCACTCACGGCCATTGGCTATGGAGTAGCTATAGATGTCTTCCTCAACTCCATGGAAAAGGGGACTGAAAGCGTCGCCTCAGAAGGAAGGAGGACTCGGAGGCCCAGGTTTGGATGCAGCACAACTTTAATGAGTCTAAAGAAAGAAAGGAGGTTTCTCAACGGCAAACCCAGGAGCAGCCAACACGATGTGTTGGAACTTCTGCGGAATGTCTGTCTGCCTGTCCCACAAAAGGAGGGAGGCCAATAGGTCCCCACTAGGCAGGTGTTGGGAGACAGGGACAGAAAAGGAAAGAGCGAGAGAAGAGAGTGCAAGAAGGAAACAATGTCCTGAAGCTCTTAATGCAAGGCCATTGGCTCTCTATTCCAGCAGCATGTTCTGAAGTCTCAGACGGTCATGTCCAAGGACACTGCCAGCAGCTTTAGCAGGGGGGGCACCTTCTGCCACAGTAGCGGCTGGTGATGCAGGAGAGGTCAAAGCCCCCCGAGTTGATGGGGACTCCGTCACAGCTGAGGATGCTGCCAACGGCGGCGGAGGTGGAGGAGCCCACAACGGTGTTCTGTGGGAAGGAGCTGAGGATGGGGCCGGGCAGGGTCACCACCACGGGGGAGGGCTGGATGACGACGGTGGAGCTCTGGCACTGCCTGACACAGGGCTCATTGCAGCTGTTGGCCAGCGGGGTCGGGCCGCAGGGCTGGCAACAGGGCACGCAGGGCTCACACGGTTGACACTTGTCGGAGCAGGACATGTCTCGGGGCTGGTGATTCACCTGGGAGAGAGGGCATGGAGGAAGCAGAGCACAAGGACACCTGCAGAACAGCCTGAAACCCCACCAAAAGGAAGCCAAGGCACCTGCTCGGTGGGGCGGTAGAGGCTGTTCAGGGGGGAACAAGAGGCTCTTTTCCTGAGCCCAGCGAGGTCCTTCAGATAGCAGCCAGGCATAGGGATTCCCCTGCCTAGAGTGTCGCAACGAGGCACCTCAACCCAGCCTCAACCCTTGTCCGTGACAAACCGTCTCTCCTCTGCCCTCTTGAATGACCACGGTCTCAGAGCACTAACAGAAGACCATGGAGCAGGTGTCAGCTGAGTTGTCCTTGAAGCAAGATCCTGTCCTATAGGAGGAGGCGGAGGAGCAAAGGGGGTCCCAACTCACCTGGTTCCCAAGGAGAAGGAGATGACAGAAGTGGCTGAGAGAGTAGTGAGTTGAACTGGCTTTTATATTGTCTTCACACTGCCTCAGGCCCAAAGGCAGCCGCTGCGTAAGCAACAATTTTCCTGCATGCTCCTGATGAACGGAAGCATGCCAGGTAATGACATGGAATGTGTTGCTGTTTACCTCTACACTGGCTTTGCACTTCCTGGTTTATGTCATGCCCACTCCTTCACGGACACTTCTTTTGAGTGCTGGGATGGGGGGTCCCAGGGTTCCCGGGGACAAAGGTGAGTCAGTACATGCAGAAGACACGTACTAAGTGCCAGAGGGGTCCGGTGGAGGCAAATGATGTCAGCCTGGAGCACTCTGGTTGGGGCTTTGTTTTTTATGATCCCGCTGACAGGAAGGGCTCCAGCTTCTCCCAACACTGCAATCCTCTGTTTGACCCCCAGGGGCTCTGGGAGTATGTAGCCCATCCTCCTCTTTCCTTCCCTCCCTGCTCACTATAAGAGTCAGCGGCTGCTCTCTTCCCAGACAGGCTGCGCTTCAGGTTTTCAACTCCCTTTCACCTTAAGCTTCCCTCAGGAGGAAATTGCCAACCTCTTTGGTCTCCTCCTCTCTCCGGACAGTCCCCGAGACTCGTCTATCAAGTCTGCCTGCGCATCTGTCCTGCTTAGAGTCCCCTTTCCCTGCTCTGGCAGGGACGGCCCCAGCAGCTCCTCAGTCACATCCCTTCTTACCACCTCTGCCCTCCATGTGTTCATCTGCCATAATGCGCATGGGAGCGTGACTGTGTACCAGTCTGTGCACTTACATCTGTGTGCTTGTTTGCTTCTGTGTACACATAACTGTGTGCCTCTGGTGAGATCATGTTTCCGTGTGCCCGTGTTGGGTTTTTTTTGCACAGGTGTGAGTACTTGTATGCAGGTACACGTGTCTATGTGCTGGTGCACATTTGCTTGTCTTTGCGCATCTGCGTCTATGTCTGTGCACACGTGTGCGTGTTGGGTATGTGTTCATGCATGAGTGTGTGTACGTCATTGTGCCTGACCTCAAGCCTGCACCCAACCATTCCAAGTCTTGTAGTGACATCCCTCCACAACAGTGCTGGGCACTGACACAGTCTCAGCCCCTCGTTATGTGAGGGGACACAGACAGGGCCACAGCAGTCTATCTCACTGAGGAGATCCCTGAACCCCGACCAACTCTTTTCATTCTGCCTTCAGGCCACCTCAAGGGACTGTTTCTCAGGATCCTCGCTCCTGACTCATGTAAAAGCTCTGAGGCTACGGGATTTTTCTGGCTCTGTGGGCATGTGGGAGCCTTTGCCTCTGTTGGCCCTTGCCCAAAGCCAGAAGCTATGGGAAGAGGAATGAGAGCCTGGGGAAGCTGGGAGCAGGAAGGTGTGGAACATCAGCCTGGTGCTGAGCCAGGCAGCAGCAGAGACCTCACACAAAACTGGTATTGGGCTAAAAACACTGGTCTCCTGTTGTTGGTCTGCTGTGAGATGTAAGATATTTGCACTGAACTAACTTAGATGTAGCATAGCTGAGGGCTGACTCCTTCCCTTTTTTGCACTTGCTGAGATCATTCCCACATGCTGCTGCTGGAAGTTTCAGGCGGAGATGACGCCCCTTCTTATGGGAGCAGCTTTTAAGGTTAATTTATAGTTCTTGACAACATGAAATTAATGTACCATTTTCTCAAGTTGTTGTGGTTTGAGCCTGGTCGGTAGCCAAACACCACTCAGCTACTCTCTCTCCCTTCTCTTCTATCAATAAGAAGGGACAGAGAAACAGACTTGGGATTCGAGATAGAACCAGGAGTTGCAGATCACCCATTCTGGTATCGAGTAAATGGCAGTCTCGTTAGGGGAAGAAAAAAAGTACATATATTTATTACAGACACTAACAACACGTAACAGAATAGGACAGTGAGAAGCATTGCCACATCTTGAGAACACCTTCCCCCTAACCCTCCCTTCTTCCCGGGCTCAGTTCTGCTCCCGATATCTCTAACTCCTCCCCCAGTGGCGCAGGGGCAGGGAATGCGGGGTGCAGTCAGTGCTGCCTGTTCTTCCATCTTTGGTGAGGGAAGCTTCTGGAACTTTTTTTCCCTGCTCCATCGTGGTCCCTCTCTCACAGAAGACAATCCTCCACAAACTTTCTCTGACATTAGTTCATCCCACAGACCTCAACGTTCCCCAAACTACTGCGTTGTGTGTAGGCCAGGGTCTGGCTGCTCTCAGCAAAACCCCCAGCATCGCACAATTGATAGAAGGTGACGTGCTGGAGTTTGTGGGTCACAGACCTTGAAAAGAATAAGATAAGAACTCTGTGCAGGAGGAACAGGGGGTTCTAACTTGATGTTTATGTTAAGATTAGGCACCATGGAGCTGATGTCCTGTAACTGGGAGTTATTTTTTTTATAGGTAGGAATGTTGCAATTAGAAAGTGTATGTTTAGAAAAAAGCCTTTAGCGTTAGCTAATCCCTGAATGAGTGATGTAGAATGTAAGCCAATAAATCTTTGGTATACCTTAAAGAAACCAATTAGTGTGTAACATGCTATCTAGGAACTAGTATAAAAGTATGTGAAGAATCATAATAAATTGGACACTTTGCTTGCATCAAGCTGCGTCCCGTCTCTCTATCGCGGCAAATTGGTGACCCCGACATGATTTGTGATAAAGCGACATGATGCAGGACGAAATGATGTGATTAAACAGGGAACGAAGTGATTCCAGAATTCAACCACCACCTATCTGCGTGGCATGCTGTGAGTCCCACAGGACATTGAATGAGCTGCTGAAAGGAAGCAGGACCCGGCCGGCACGAAATCCCTCCAGAGTAGAGTGATGAGCTGTGGGAAACGTGGGAAGCCAGATGTCTTCTTCAGAGACAGACGTATATGAGCTCATGAAAACTCTTCTCCAAAAACACCAGAAGAATGTTTCTGGGCCTGATCTTAAGACAATGCTGAAACGGGTGCAAGTAAAAATACCCACTGTGACTGCATCTACTATTTTTACACGGGAACTGTGGGATGATGTTGGGGTAAAATTATGGGATGCTGCAACGATGGGGAATGCCGAAGTGCAGCACATGCTTCCGTGGTGGAGAAGTATTTTTGAGACTTTAAAAGCCCAGGGGGAAAGTCATAAAGATAAAGACGAGAGGGAGGGGGGCTCTCCTACAGCACCTCCGATGCTGCTGAAAAACAAAAAAAAACCCCGAGCCTTCGGAAGTGTACGCCACAGGGTGTCTCCTGGAAGAAGATCCCTTTGATCTGGGGCTGGTGGACTCTGAAAAAGAGCCAGACCTCTACCCTCCCGACCCATATGATGTATGGGCTAGCATAAGGCGAGAGGCCCTAAAGGAAGGAGAGCTGGAGATCGCAAAAACTACAGTGGCCCCTGTGATTTATCAAGGGCGCAGGGTGCAGTGGGAGGCTTTATCTTTTCTGGTAATTAAGGAGCTGCGTCATACTGTTACTGAGCATGGGCTTTCCTCTCTGTATTTTGCAAGTCTGTTGTCTTCTGGTTTTGATACTTATGTAATGACTCCGCATGATTTAAAATCCCTAGCGCAATTGTTATTGACTCCAACACAGTACACCTTATGGGAGTCACGTTGGAGGGGGGTGCTCCAGGCGCTCCTTGCGACTTATGCAGGTCACGGCAATGCAGCTCTAGCTGCATTGACTATAGAGCACCTTACCGGCACAGGTCAGCACTCTGACCCAGTAGCTCAAGCCCGAGATATCCCACAAGAGGCTCTTGAGGCGACTCGTGAGGAAGCGAGAAAGGCTTTTTTCAAAATCCCAAACCTACAAAAGCCGCAAAAAGCCTTTACCACGATTACCCAGGAATCTCGAGACCCTTATATGCAGTTTATTGATAGACTGAAACAGGCTTTGGAGCTCCAGGTAGATAACAGGGCAGCATGGGAAATCCTATTGTTAAAACTAGACGTTGAAAATGCTAATGCCGATTGTAAAAAGTTATTGAAATATCTCCCGAATCCGAATCCTACATTGGTTGAGATGATAGAGGCTTGTAATAATTGGTACTGTGGATCATAAATTTGAGGCCATGGCTGCTGCTTTCACAGACATGCGCAGCCTGACAGGGCCAGGGAACTGTTATGGTTGTGGCAAACCCGGTCATCTGAAAAGGAATTGCTTAGCTGCCAATACTGGTGCTAAGCCCCAGGCTCCTGGAATTTGTCCCAGGTGCAGAAAAGGGCATCATTACGCCAATCAATGTCGATCTAAGTATGATTTCCAGGGACAACCGATACAGGGAAACCGATCGCGGAGCGCAGGGCAGCGATGCGCGCAGACACAAATGCTGCAGCCAACGTTCCAACCCCCACGGAGGGAAGCAGAAGTGCCTCAAGTCTTCACCCAGCAACAGCAGGCAGCGCCAGATTGGACCTGGCAACCTTTCACACAGTAACGTTACTCAATTCCTTGGTTCACTTATTGTCAACAAATGTCTCGGGACCCTTACCCCCTAAAACACAAGCGCTATGGTTAGGAAGATCATCTACAACATTGTCAGGACTTTTTGTGCTACCAGGGGTCATTGACTCTGACAGCACTGATGAATTTAAGATTATGGCATGGACTCCATTCCCTCCCTGCACAGTACCGAAAGGTAGCCGTATAGCACAATTAATATTGATTCCCACAGGAACGGACTCCTCAGTTCTTAATCAGCCTCAGCAATGGCGGGGAGGTTTTGGATCTACTAGGAACCCACAAATCCTATGGGTACAGTCTATCTCTCAGAAACGACCTATATGTCAATGTACCCTTACTCGTGGGGGACAGCAAGTAGTGCTAAATGGGATTATTGATACCGGGGCAGATGTTACGGTAATATCTCAGGCTAAATGGCCCCCACAGTGGCCTTTGGCCAACGTTTTTCATACATTGGCAGGAATCGGGGAAACTGGCAGCAGTTATCAAAGTCTGGAACTAATCCAAATTCAAGGTCCAGAGGGGCATATAGCCTCCGTTAAGCCTTATGTGTTACCTGTTCCCATGATTCTATGGGGGAGAGATGTGCTGTCTCAGTGGGGTCTGTCCATCCATACCCATTTTTAGGTGGGGCCATTGAAGTGCACGACACCCTAAAACTGATGTGGAAAACTGACACCCCTATTTGGGTAGATCAATGGCCCCTGTCACTGGAAAAACTTCACGCCCTCAAAGAATTAGTTACAGAACAATTAATGAAAGGGCATATTGTGCCTTCTACTAGCCCTTGGAATTCACCTGTTTTTGTCATTAAGAAACAAACTGGCAAGTGGCGCTTGCTCCATGACCTTAGGAAAATTAATGACGCCATGGAGGACATGGGAGCCCTCCAACCAGGACTTCCGTCCCCCACTATGATTCCTCAAAATTGGCATTTGACTGTTATTGATCTCAAAGACTGGTTTTTTTTAATATCCCATTGCATCCAGATGATGCTACTAAATTTGCTTTTTCAGTTCCAAGCGTCAATATGAAAGCTCCGTTACAAAGATATCTGTGGGCTGTGCTGCCACAAGGAATGAAGAATAGCCCCACGATATGCCAGTGGTATGTAGCTAAAGTACTTAGCCCAGTTAGGACTGTAATGTCTAGTGTCTTGCTGTACCATTACATGGATGATATCCTAGTGGCCGCACAGCATCATGAGGTCATGGAGGAAGCTGTAGCCCTTGTCACGGCTGCTGTTAACTCAGCAGGCCTCTGTATTGCACAGGAGAAAATTCAAACAACACCGCCATGGAAGTACTTAGGTTGGCGCATAAGGGCTCAGTCTATAGTTCCCCAGCCCTTACAGATACAGACACACATAAAAAACTTGCATGATGTGCAGAAATTACTGGGAACAATCAATTGGGTCTGACCGCTGTTGGGAATTTCTAACGCAGACTTAAGTCCTTTATTTGAGCTGCTAAAAGGGAGCACTGATTTGTGTGCCCCCCGCAGCCTTGGCCCAGAGGCTATTGACTCTTTGCAGAAAGTTGCCACAGCAATTGCTCACAGGCAAGTGCACCGCTGGGCTCCTGAGTTATCCTTTTATCTGATAATTTTAAACCCTGCTGGACAGCCTCATGCGCTAATATTTCAATGGGATCCTCAGGAGTCAGACCCACTGTTGATCATTGAATGTTTTTTTTTGCCAAATCAGTCTACAAAAACTATTCTAACACAACACGAGATGTTTGCCTCTTTGATAATTAGAGCAAGACAGCGCTTATTGACACTGTCAGGAGTAGATTTTGCCTGTATCTGCTTACCTGTGACAAATATACATTTGCAATGGCTTTATCAACAGTCTGATGCTTTTGGTATGGCTTTGGCAGACTATATGGGTCAACTTACATCCACCTTCACATAAGCTGCTTAATGCTGACTTTCATCTGATATCCAAGCCAAAAAGGAGTGATCAGCCATTACAAGCCCTCACTGTGTTCACGGACGGATCTGGGAAGTCACATGAATCAGTCATCTTATGGTGGGACAATCAACGGGAGCGATGGGACTCAAACATAGAGACCGTTCCTGGTTCTCCTCAGATAGTGGAACTAACTGCGGTTGTTCGAGCTTTTCGAAGGTGGTCCGTACTGCTTAACATAATTACTGACTCAGCTTATGTTGCAGGAATTGTTGAACGAGCTGAAGCATCTGTACTACGTGATGTCTTGCATTCTGACCTATTTGTTTTATTGCAGGAACTTATCTTTCTTTTAGATTCACACCCTCACCCCTATTTTGTCATGCATGTCAGAGCGCATACTGTTTTACCTGGCTTTATTGCAGAAGGGAATCGACGAGCTGATATGCTGACATTACCAGTGCAAGTATTACCAGATCGTGTAGCACAGGCTAAACTCAGCCATTCTTTTTTTTCACCAGAATGCTGGAGGTCTCAAACGACAGTTTGGGCTTACCTCACAACAAGCAGCTAATATTATTGCTGTGTGCCCCGACTGTCAAAGACACTCTTTTCCATCGGTAGCGGGAGGAGTTAATCCCAGAGGATTGCAGAGTCTGCAACTTCGGCAAACAGATGTTACGCATTTTTCAGAATTTGGTCGTTTAAAATGTATCCATTCTTCTATTGATACCTTTTCTGATGCTTTGTTTGCTTCTTGCCACACAGGAGAGAAGACACGTGATGTTCGGAAACATTTGATGCGTGCCTTTTCTACCTTAGGTATACCCTCTCAAATAAAAACAGACAATGGCCCTGCATATATCTCAGCTGCAACAAAAACCTTTTTGGACTCCTGAGGCATGACCCACATTACTGGCATCCCTCACTCCCCTACAGGTCAATCCCTGATTGAACGCTCTCATCAATCTTTGAAACGATTATTACAACAACAAAAAGGGGGAGTAGGGACTGCCACCCATGAGGAACATCTACAGAAAGCTTTGTATGTTTTTAACTTTTTGAATTGTTCTTTGTTAGACAGCAACCCTCCGATAGTCCGACATTTTAATACAAATGCTTCACTTGAGGCGCGAGTCAAGGCCCCAGTGTTGGTTCGTGATCCTGAAACAGGTAAAATCATGGGACCGTATCCCCTTATCACATGGGGCAGAGGTAATGCTTGTGTCTCCACAGAGAAAGGTCCTCGATGGATCCCAGCAAAGAGTGTACGACCTTTTCGTGAATCCCTACCACAATCATCTGGTGAGAATTCCGATCATCCTTCAGACCAGCCCTTCGAGCAGCAAATTGGTGAACCTCCCGAGGAGGGACAAGACAACGGGGACTGAACACTGCAAGCAAGGAGTGTAAAGAAACACCAGTTGCGAAAATCGCTTGTGCTTTATGTAAAACCTGTGAACACTGAGTCTTATGTGGGAATGAGGAAGTGTCCTCTTTTGTGCCCAAATGCATCCTCTCCAAAAAGCCCCTTTTTGTTCCTGAGCAGACTGGAAGAGTTGCCCCAGAAGGAAGGAGGACTCGGAGGCGCGGGCTTGGATGCAGCACAACTTTAATGAGTCTGAAGAAGAAAAGAGGTGGCTCCCAGGGAGCACCAGGGCCAGCCATTAAGATGCAGTGGAGCTCTGGCAGGGTGTCCATCTGCCTGTCTTGCAGAGGGAGGGAGGCCAACAGGTCCCCGCTAGGCTGGCGTTAGGAGACAGTGACGGCAAAGGAATGAGAGAGAGAAGAGAGTGCAAGAAGGAAAAGTAAATGTAAAGCAAGCTTGCAGCCAGCGCAGGCTGGCCACTCCCTGCCACCCTCTGCAGGAGAAGCCAGGTCCAAAGCTCTATCTTCTGTCCAGCACCATGTTCTAAGGTCTCAGAGGGTCGTGCCCAAGGACGCTGCCAGTAGCTTTAGCAGGGGGGGCACCTTCTGCCGCAGTAGCGGCTGGTGATGCAGGAGAGGTCAAAGCCCCCCGAGTTGATGGGGACTCCCTCACAGCTGAGGATGCTGCCAACAGCGGCGGAGGTGGAGGAGCCCACAACGGTGTTCTGTGGGAAGGAGCTGAGGATGGGGCCGGGCAGAGTCACCACCACGGGGGAGGGCTGGATGGCGACGGTGGAGCTCTGGCACTGCCTGACACAGGGCTCATTGCAGCTGTTGGCCAGCGGGGTCGGGCCGCAGGGCTGGCAGCAGGGCACGCAGGGCTGGCACGGGCTGCAGCAGGACATGTCTTAGGGGCCGGAGGTGCACCTGGGGGAGAGGGCAGCGGGGAACAGAAAATGGAGGCATGTGAGAAGCAGCAACGCACCCAACCACAGTGGAGCCGAGGCAACCCCGAGCCCAGTAGTACAGCTGCCCAGCTCAAAGCCCTGGAGCCGCCTCCACTCAGTCCCAGGCTCTCTCTACAGAAGAACTTCTCCCCCCTTCCCTCTCCCATGAGAAGCAGCTCCCAGCTCTGGCCTAGGACAACCCGTGTCACCTGAGACATACACGGAGGAAAGACCTGATCTTGAAGGAGGAGCAGAAGAGGCTTCACACTCACCTGGTTCCCAAGGAGAAGGAGGTGAGAGAAGTGGATGAGAGAGGAGAGAGCTGGGCTGTCTTTTATAGTCGTCCTGCACCGCCTTGTGCCCAGAGGCACCCTCTGTGGAAGTAATAATTTTCTTACAAGCTCATGCCAAATGCAAACCATCCCAGCTAATGGCATGGGCTGTGTCCTGGCTTCCTGCACTGCTGCCTTTTCATTTCCTGGCTTCTGTCACGTGCTTTCCCATATGAAGGCTTCTGTAAGTGCCGAGATGAGAGGCCCAAGGTTTTCCGGGGCAGAAATACATCGGTGCAGGCGGAAGACTCAACTCAAGTGCTGGTGGCATCCCGTGCAGGCCGGTGCTGTGCACCTGGGTCATCTTGTGGGCTTGTTTGTGCCAAAGTTGGTAGGAAACGGACACCGCTCTTGTGCTCTTTGTCCGAGTGTGCCCAAGGACTCGCATGAGAGAGGACACACCACATGCCTTCTGTCTTGCTGCCCCCATCCCTCTCTGATGGTCGCTCACTGTTGCACGCAGGCCGGCTTCTGCTGGGAGGCTTTGACCCTGTTGCAACACTAGCAGTGTTCGGAGGACAAGTTTGCTGGGCTCATTTGGCTCCTCTCCTCTTGGTGCAGTCACTGCAGGTCCTCAGGCAAGACCAGGAGCACGTTTGGGGCCCGGTCCTTTCCCAGGGTGCTTGAGTACGGTTCTGCCGAGGTGGTCCCCAGTGTCTCCTCAACAGAGTCCCCAGCTGCTGATGGTTTCCCGCACATGCTTTGTTGTTTGTGCTTGACTGTATGCTGGCCTGAGGTGAGCACAGAGATTTTGGCAAGATTCCATGCAGGTGTGCATGGGCAACCGTGTGTCCTTCTGTGCTTGTGTGACCCTCATGAGAGCGTGTGCAAGGGGACTCTTGCTCGGTGTATTCACGAGCTGCACAGAGTAGCGGGTTCCCTTTGATATAAGTACGGTGGCTGGACTGGAAGTTACAGCCGCATGGTGGTAGCTTCGACCTGGCAGAGAGGTGCCTGGAAAACAAGCAGTGAAATGCAGTCTCTGCCTCCTGCGCCCTCCATTTCTTGCTTTGTGTGCCTGGAGAAAAGGGCAAGCAAGACTTCCCACCTCGTGCAGGCCGTTACCACCGAGTGGATGCCCTTGTGATGCAGTGTTGCTGGTGACTGGGATGGGATACGGGCTTCCCACCTACATGCCAATGGCCAACGCACGTCTGCAGCTCGTCAGCCAGGCAGGAGTCGGGACCTCGCACCAAATTTGCATTGGATTATAGGGACGCGTGTACAGACATTGCTCTGCTGTGAGGTGTAGGATAGTTGGACCGACCCAACTCAGCTAGTGTAGCTGAGGGCTGGCCCTTTGTCTGGCTTGCTGAGAACACATCGGTTGACATCCCGAGAGTGCCACACGGTGAGGCGCATAAGAATGCTCTGACATGGTGGGAATTTTCCCGCTAAGGGTCTACATTCCAGTCACTTCTGATATGCTCCTCAGAGCTGCTGAAGAACTTGGCACCTGCTCTTTGAGCTTGCCCAGGAAGGAATTGCCACCCCCGTGCTCTACAAACTAGGCCCTTCTCCCCTTTTTTTTGGGCTCATTTTTACTTTTGAGCTCTTCCTCTTCTCTTCCCCAGGCACTTCCCGGGCACTCCCTCTTGTCCTTCTCCTGACCTTTCTTGGACTGCAGCCCCTCTGGTGGCACTCCACCTCCCATTCCTGTTCCTCCAAATTGCTCTTGCAGTGAGCCGGATGTGAATCCACCACAATGCCCTCCAGCCTCTCCACCTCCCCTGTCAGGAAGGGGAGGTAATTTGGATCCAGTGTGTCCAAAACATCCTGTCCAATTTCCTATGTGCGAGGAAGAAGTTTTTCCTCAAAAATACCCAACCATCTCTCTGAATGCCTGTTCTCCATGTGGTGGCATGTTGCTAATGTGGCATTTGATTGTGCTTCTGGGATTAGGTGGAGGAACTGCGCAATCATCTGTGAATGTTGTTGAGCACTAGCTGTATATTTTTGTAAGCTGCCTAGGAGAAACACGGTTGTTAGTCCGGCTCTTCTCTTGCGCCTCTGCTGGAGACTTGTAGCAGGAAAATGGTGCTCGCTCTGGGATGATCAGATGGATTAGACTGCAAGGCTAAATTGCCTGGGAAAACCTGGTTGCTGATGTGCTGGAGGTGGGGGCTGCCACTGCTGGGATGTGAGTGCCCTGACTCGGGCTATGCCAATCCTGAACTGCTGCCTGCTGACACCCCCTTGCATGTGTCAAAGATGATCGAAGGGCTGGAGTACCTGTCCCATGAGGAAAGACTGTTGGAGTTAAGTCTTTCCTCCCTAGAGAACAAAAGGCTCAGGGGGACCTCAGCACAGTAGTCCGCTATTGAAAGAGCTGCTGCAAAGAGGACGGAGGCTCTCTGATCACAGGAAGCCACTTGGAGCTGGCAAGGGGCAAGGAGAGATCTCCAGCAGCCAGGGACTGCAGTGCTGTGAAGACCCTGGCCTGCGTGTGAGCAGCAGTGGTGGCGTGAGCAGAGCTGAGAGCACTTGGAGAGTCAGGTGAGCTGAGTGTGGGCAGAGTGTGGCTAAACCACCATTTCTACTGCCACAGTGGTCTGATTTTCCCTTTCGCTCAAGGGTTAGACATCCTCCTTGAGAGGGCATTTGACAACTCCTTCTCAGCTAGAGATGTCCTCACATACATTAGCAAGAATTACAAAATGCTTAAAGCTCTTCTAGTAGCCGTGGTCATCTTCCTAGGCGTTCTTGGACCAGCCTTATCCCCTCTCTATGGAGCAATGCCTCACTGCTGTACTCCCACAAATGCAGAGACCTGTAGCTTTCTGGGACAAGCAGACTCCCCACCGCCTCCAATTGCTGATTCTGGGACATCAGAATTGATGCTGTGCAGACTAAGCCCCCTCCATTTTGACATAGCATACATGTGTACAGTATCTTGTAATCCCATAAGAGAGGAAGTTCTGCTCCATCCACACACCGTGGGTCATTTTTTACACATCCCAAAACCATAATTAATAGCACACAGGTGGTGTAAACTGTCCTTATAATGTATAGCATTGTCCTGGTTTGGGCTGGAATAGAGTTAATGTTTCTTTTAGGTAACTAGAGTAGTGCTGTGTTTTGGATTCAGCATTGGGTGTGGTATGAGAAGAATGCTGATAGCACACTGATGTTTTCAGCTGCTGCTGAGATTTCAAGGGACTCTTCAACTCCCCATGTCCCCGCCCAGTGTGCAAGTGCACAGAGAAGCAGGGAGGGAGCACAGCCAGAGCACCAGACCCAAATTGGCCAATGAAATATTCCATATCATGTAACGTCATGCTCACTATATAGAGGAGGGGGTGATCGGCAAGCGGGGGGGGGAGACTCTCGCTTCCGGGACTGCGATTGCGGGATCTTGGTATTTTGGGATTGCTGGCTGGGAACAGGCTGGGTATTTGTCAGTGGGTGGTGAGCAATTGCATTGGGCGTTGCCCATTTATATTTTCTGTTGCTGTCATTGTTTTCATTTTGTTACCATTATTAAACTGTTTCAACCTCAACCTGTGAGTCTCCCTTTACCCCTCCAATTCCCTCCCCTTTTGCCAGGTGGTAGGGAGGGTGGGTGAGCGGCTGCGGGGTGCTTGGCTGCTGACCAGGCTCCAACCGCGACAAGCACGAACGTAACCTTTTCTCATTTCCAACATTGAATTGTGAATTGAAGGCTGTAAAATCTACTAAGTCATGAGCTATTTTCTGTGGGAAATATTTTGAGACCACCCCCTCCTACCCATGAAGATGTATGGTGGAGCAGACACTGATGTATGGCCTGTGTTGCACATGGTTGACCAAGGTGTGTGTGCCTGAAGAAGGCCGGGGTCTTATGGGAAAGGTTATACCCCTCTGTTTTATTTCAGTGCTGAAAGGATTTCAGCATGCTGGGGTGTCCCAGACTGGAGCAGCTCGGCAAGGACTGCAGCCTGTGTGAGGGATTCCAGCTGGAGCATGGTGGTGACCCACGATGGAGCAGTGTAAGGAAACGCTGCAGTGGGAGGGACTCATGCTGGAAAAAGTTTGAGTAGGACTGTCTCCTGTGAGAGGGGAATCACGATGGAGCAGGGGGAACAAGTTCCAGAATGTCTGCCCCCTTGAATATGGAAGAAGCAGCAACACTGACTGCACACCAAATTCCCAGCCCCTGCGCAGCTGGGGGGAGGAGGTAGAGAAATCGGGATCAGAGCTGAGCCTGGGAAGAAGGGAGGTGCGGGGGGAAGGTGTTCTCAAGATGTGGCAATGCTTCTCAGTGTCCTTCTCCGTTAAATATTACTACTGTCTTTAATAAAAATATGTTCTTTTCTTTCTACCCCTAATGAGTCTGCTTTTCGCTCGTGACCAGAATGGGTGATCTGCCCCTCCAGGTCCTATCGTGAATCCCAATCCTGGCCCATTTTGCCCTTGTTATTTCTGAAAGAGAAGTGGGAGTGAGTGGTTGAATGGTGTTTGGCTGCCGACCAGGCTCAAACCACGACATCCTCTCACATTTTCTCCAAGATACTGCTCTCCATCGTGTTAATCCACCATCTTTCTTTGCCAAAAGATCTGCAATAACTTCAAGGAACTTACAAAATGACTCCAGAAGGTGCCTTCCCCATGCCTCCCAGCCTGAAATGTCAGAGCTGCTGAGCACTAAGGCAGCCTCACCAG